TCTTTAACATGAGGATTGCAGAAGGGGTAATTATCGGAGTATACCGTTGAAGACGTGTAACAAACTTCAGAGGCTACATCTGTGGGCATGCCAGTGTCCATAGAAGCTGGGGCCAGGTTGTGTTGAACAAAAGGTGCAACTTGCGGTTGCACTTGCTGTGCAGCGAGGTGTGGATATGGCATCCATTGTTGGCCATAGGTGAATGGATTCCAGAGAAAAGGGTTGTGATAGATGGAATGCGGTGGGTTGATTGTTCCACATGGTAGCCATGTTCTGTGTAACAGTTGGCGCTGGAGGTACGTACGGCCCAACCCATGATGAGGTATGGGTATGAGTGGCAAAACTGAATGTACATGTGCGAGTATCGTTAATCATAGACTGCCGACGTGGAAGAGCCGGCGATACGGGCTGTGTAACTAAAGAGTAAGGAACAGGGCATGGTGACCCTAGTTCCTGCTCGCTCTCTGTTCGTGGGGTTCTAACCCATGGTGAGGCTAGAATGTGCGAACTCTCAGAACTGCCCATTTTAGTCTGTGTCTCCGGCAGAGGAGCGCCCAAAGCTGCTGGAATGGTGCTTGCAGACCTCTTGTTGGCCATATCCCTTACAATCGTCAGTATATAAATCCAATGTGTAGTATTCCACGATGTATAAATCCACAAGTATAGATCCAAGAGTGAGGAAGAAAGCTTTAGCAACTGAGCAAACTGCACCACAAAAGACAAAGACACAGTTGAGTGCACTTGGGCAGTATATATACTCTAGTGGAGCTCATTTGTATATTAATAGTGGGACTATACCATTCTCTTCAAAGGGTGGAGCAAACCGTATTACGAGGGACACAATACGGCATGAGTCTTGACGACAATGACGAAATATAATCAAAGTTTTTATTGGCTCAAAATGTTGATGAAAGCTGACTTTTGATGGTGTCCACTGCGGATGTTTGAGAGCCCAGGCTAGCTGTTGGGCCTTGTGATCGGGTATGAGGTGGGGTCACCCCGGCCAGATCAACTGCCAGCTCAGGGGCAGTCTTGAAGTGGTCGCATCTTGATGACCGCATGAGGAACCTGTCGTCTTGGTTGGTAGTTGCCCATGGACGGCCAGATCTTGGTAGGACATCCATTGTTCCAGGTTCCTCTAGCTTCCTCAGATTAGATCCGACACAATACTTGCTTTACCCTAAGCCGTTGTGCAATCTCTCAGTTGGAAATTCCCTCCCGGTGCTAAGTCTCAAGCATCCCCTTTTCATGGTCAGTAAGTGGAGTATTCGGAGCCCTTGTTTGTTCTTGAGAGGTCATAGATAAGCTATTCAGATGCAAACGAGAACTCCCTTTATATAGCCTTGCCTGTCTAATATCCACTTTCGTGAATAGAGATTTCATTTTACCTCATAAATATCAATTGCAAAGCTTTTCCCGCCGTGCGAACTTTGTTGCCATTGATTTAAATGTCAGGATAATGATATTCATGACTCATGAATATGTAATGAGGCAATCCAAGATGGTGGTTTAACACGTTACAAAAAGCTGTCTCGAAATCATTGTCGTTGAGTTGCAGGGATGTTGCAGAACTTGCAACCAACCACAGGAGTCCTTGAGGAGGAGCGGATAAATTCAGTGGCCAGTGACCTTCCACTTGACTTGGCTACTGGACTGATCGGAGATTGTCCTGTTGTCTCTGTGACCTCTCCTTTCATTGAATCTGCCACACTTACAAATTCATCCCTGTTCTGCTCTAGGTGAGTTTGATGGTACTTTTATCTTACGTTTATGCCTAGGTTGAAGTGTCTGCTTTTATCTCAAAGTTTAGACCAAGTTGTCATAGGTCAATATCATATTGCATTTCTTAATTGCAGTCATTGTAATTTGACTGAGAATGTTTTCAAAGAGAAAAAGATTTTGTGCACATCTTAATTTAAGCCAAAGTCTATTTTAGAAGTTCTATCCATGTTGACATATGTTTAAGGTTCTGTTGTTTCCAGATACAAACAACATTTCTTTTGCGATATCTTCCACGATTTGTCCAAACATTCTGACTTCATGGTCCCTGAACACTGAATGAACTTGCTGTTTAAGTTTCCATTGATTTGGAGTTTACCATTATCATGTAAAAGATTTCTGGTGACTAGTCTAAATTAAGTAAAACTTAATTCAGAAAGAACTGACTTCTAGGATTACTTGTATAATACTATCATCCTTACGTTTTCATGATATATTACTCCTACCATTGAACAATCACATTCTCTTGACTAAAGTGAAGAGAGGTATATTTTCCTCCTGTGCAAATTAAGTTTGTGAATTTGCAACATTCTTCTGTGTTTGATTATTTGATAAGTTTCAATCATTTGACTTAATTCACCTTTAATTATTTTTTTACCATAGTTGCATATATCAGTAATTAGTTTTTTCTTTATTTCATTTCTTATGTCCGGGTATTTAATCTGTTGATATGTGTATTCCTTTCATTCTAAATCGATCTGATTGCTCAGGACTTTGACATTTTAATGTTTAATCTTAATTAACTTTTACTTCCTGATTATGAGTCACTCATGTTCCCCAAACTCAGAGTTCCAAAGTTTGACGCAACAGTTGTAACCTTGTAATTCCTAAGACACCGGTCTTGGTATAGTGTCCTTGTAGCACCTTAGTAATTTCTGTGTAGACCAACCCACACACACCCATGGTACCCAGGTGGACGAGGGCATTGACCAGCACTGGTAATCATGACAACCTCACACAGATTGTAATGTTTCAAAGGGACTTTCACTTTCAATAGAAGTCGTCAGGGTGTATTGGTAAGAACAGGGAGGATATTTTATGTCTGCCTTTGCCAGAAGGGCATTTTTTCCTGCCTACCCCAACCAACCAATTGGCTACTTCTTCAAAGCTAGTGCAGTGCATGGTACTTACAATGTAAGCTTTTTTCAAAGCCATTGTTGACTAATTCAGATTTGGGGTACAAGAGGTGATGGATTAGTTGGAAAGTGCCAGGTTCAGCTTTGGGATTGAGACCAGTGGGGAAAATTCAAATGTTCTTTATGGGGTTTGCTGCAAATGGACCAGCCATGAGTCCCAGTATAACTTCTTTGTTTATTTTTTCAAGGGTCAGTGTTAGATTTTGTCAGACTGACTGTAGGTTAGGGGCATCCCCAGCCACATGTGACCTAGTCTAAACCCTGATGTGAATCCGCTGCGCTTTGTTTGCTGTCTTAGTACTTGGGTAGGTATCTAATAAGGGTAACAATGTTGCTAAGTTAACAGGAGTGTGTGCCAGATAACACAGACATAGGATCCCAGCAGAATGGACCAGCATAACCTAGTTTAGCACCCATCACCTTGCTACTTGCTGGGGGCCGACTTACAAGAGGGGGAACAGTACCTGGTTGCCTGGCATGAGGAGCATTTATGGGTGTACTTACATTGGGCTCTGGAACATCCGGAATGGTTAAAGGCAAAGCACTGCCCAAAAGAGCGAAAGAGCACCCCAAAACACTGACATGAACACCAGGAATGTATCCATCCATGCAAGCATAAATGAGATTTGAGGCTTTTCCTTTATTTCTTTCAGGCAGCTTTGCCCGATTTTTCCAACTTAGTGCTAGGTTTGGGTTAGGGGAGGATAGTGCATGGCGATCAAGGAGTAAATCTAGTTCTATGAATTCCCCTTTTATAAGTTTTTCATTTATTCTGAGTGGCGCTGGGGGCCAAGCGGGTCACAGACAGATATCAAAGGGGCTGCAACCCCTACAATTGTGAAGTCAGTATCAAAAGTCAGAAGTTGAGATAATCTCCTAAATAGCAGGCCTGGCTATGGATGGAGTGTGCCCACTGCACTCACCAAGTGGGCATGGTGGGATTTGGGAATCCATCATGCTGCCTTGCTGGCCTTGTTGGGGCAAGGTAAATGGTCCAAGTGGAGAAAATGGAACATCTGGGCTCTCCAGTTGACATGTCTGCCTAGCTGTGCTGATCAACTGTGGTGACGCTCACAAGCCCATTGTGCCTGTTGGGTAGAGTGCAGTCTGCATGGCGTTGACTGAGTTGGCTGGCATGGCAGCACTTGCAATACTGGCTGTGGGTATACTTGTGTTCCCCATCTGGGCAGCTGTGCTGGCTGGAGGTGGTCGTAATCCTGGTTGTTGAGCTGTCACCACACCGCTTCTTATTTGCGAGGTTGCCTGCACGGCCGGCGGCGCTACCGCTGGCTGTCTCACTTGATCTGGCAATGTACCAGCTATATGAGCGCCGCTGAGTTCCCAGCTGCAGGGGTGGTGGCCGGTGAGGTGGGCTTGTCAGCTCCATGCCCAATCCAGGATGATGTTTGTGTTTTTATGAGCCATGGGTCCTATGCTGGTGGAAGGAAGGGCCGGGTGAGATTTCTGGCATGTACATGTTGGATGGCCATGTCCTGTTTTCAGTGACCGTCACCAGAGGGTGCTCCACATCTGGGCCACTGGGGCCTATGTCTGTGGTCAACGTGGCTGTGCGTGCATTAGGTGCAACAGGTTCCAAAGTGTTCAAGCTTCAGACTGTGTCTGGCTTAGAACTTTACATTTTTATGTTGTTTTTCTCCTCCGTGTGCCTAAAGTTCTGCTTCAGTTCCGCATGTGTCTTGTGACGCACACCAATGTGTCAAAAATCTGGGAGCGGTCACAGGACAATGAAAAAGCTGCAGAAATGCTGCAGATATTTTAGGAGCAGCCTAGATTAATGGAGGCAATGAAATGAGGCAGAATGCGTGCAAAAAAAACCAATGGTGAGTCGTGCAACAAATGCTGTGAGTGGTGGACCGCCAAGTGGTTGACTAACCAAACAATCCATACAACTCGATTCCCCATTTAAACATCTGTCCCCCTCGCCCGGTCATGGGTTTTCCAGAAACAAGTACCAGAAAACTGTATTAATGATTTTCAGGAATTATTCAAATGTTAACAATAAGATCATCGCATTTTTAAAATTATACAGCAAAGCAATATGATCAAGAAAAAAGTTCAACTTACCAATCAATGTCATAGATGGTTCTTGTATGATAACCAGATAAAGTACAAACACATTTCCATGCAGTACTTCTAAAAGAATCACCTGCATAACCAGAACAGTAAAAACGTTTCAGCATGGATCAATTTATTGTGAAACTTGCATAGGTATTGATTTGAAAGCGACAGTTCAAGATTACTTTTCATCAAATCACTGTACACCCTTCTATATGTCTATTCAGAATTTATGTGACTGACAGTCTCTCTTGACATCAAAAATATATTCACACAACTCAATTTGAATGAAGGCGAAAAAAATCCTCTCCTTTCGCACAAGACTGAAACTGAGAATTATAGGGATCCTTTAAAACATTTCCAAGTAATGCTAAAATCGCAGCACAATTTTTTTGACCATCACTACATGCACACGTATATGTTTCCACTTGAACACTGAATACAATATGCATAAGACGAGGCGTAAAAATATTTTAAAAATATTTTTCCAGCATTCACCAGCATGCGAATGGCAGGAACACAATTATCATCGTTCCTTAAACAATAGCGTGTTCTCGGAGCCAGTCGATTTGCATACACAAAGGAAGCCAGCTGAACAACTGTGGAGGGCTACCACACATCAGTAAGTATCCGATTTAACAGCTGATTGCCCAGTTTCTGCTGTTCGCGATTCTCAACAGTGGACAGTTTGCATTGTGAGTGACTGTATGGTCGTCATTCCTGGGTGGGATTCTTCAAAACAACTATCGTTCTGCTGTTGGAAATAATCACTTCACCAATATATGAGATCTATACATTTTGAATGTATATATTTTGAATAAAAAAATGATTGAAGATTTTTGCAAGTTCCGCAAATGCATTGTATGATAGAGCAAATTGCATGCAGTCAGTCTGAACTGCAATGGTGCATGGTTCTGAAATATATATTGACATGTATTTGGTTTTCTACGCAGGATAATTCTTTTTTGTCAAAGATTGATTAGAAGTACTGTGGAAGAAGCTAAACAAAATTGCAGGCCTGGGAGATATCTACATCGAGATATCTACTAAGCACACCTCTAAAAATAAAATTCTTGCTAGCAGCCAGGAAGCTGGCCCAAGCAGGCCCATGATTCTCCTTGGTAATACTGTTTCTGGTAACCTAACATAACTTTGACTTGCCTCCATTACTTATTAATTAATAATTATTGTAATAATCTGCCTAATTATTTGTTAGATTATATTGTATTTGTTAAAAATGACTGGATTTTTTAAACTGCCATGGGGATAGCAACTATTACAGTTTTTATTTTAATCACATTCAGCCGTATTGACATGGAAAAAAAAAGAAATTTGTGATGTCAGCAGGTGAGTTGGGTCTTCAAAAAATTGTACTTTTTATGTTTTTAATGGCAATGATTTAATTTATAACAATATGATATATCAAAACATAAATACAGATTATTCAAAATGTTAATAAACACAATTATGACAAAAGCTTGTTTAAAGAACACCAGACATAAAATAACAAAATGAGAAAACATTACAATTAATTTATTCATTCCATTTGACCTCTTGCGGCTGGAACTGTTCAATCAATATAAAAGTGAATGGACCTCCCAATCGCTGTTGTTAAAAAATATACACTGATGAAAATAACCTTTTGATTCTTGCAGAATGTTACATGTCATGTAACATATTTGAATGTGACTGCCTTCAATTGTTTGTCCAGAAAGCACCTCTGTGGTGAAATACATGCACATATAAATTAAAACTGTTTTGGCAAAGAATTACATGGATTTTTTATTTCAAAATCATCGCTTAAATTTGCCATGTTTCTTCTCAATTCTTTGCGATTGCTCGTTTGCACAAGTGGACAATAAAGATCCTAAAATGTTATCTGTTCGAGTTAACTCTCCAGAAAACATTCAATACACTCAATACACAAACTGTCCTGCATGTTAAATAGCTGTTTGAGCCTAAGAACTTGATGTCTAGAATGAAATTTGATTCGATGATCTTCCTCTTCCTTTTACTCGTGAAGACGTACTTGCAGGAAGAAACGTGACACCTACCGAGTCCTTTCAAATGAAAAAGGGGCAGGTGCTCACAAGGAGGAATGTGGGCTGAACTCTCAGCCTCCATGAAAGTCTGAAAATGTCCAGAGTTGTCTGTGGATGGCTTGGGTGTGGGAAATCTTCGCACGCCTGCAAGCATTTCCTTGGCAACTGGGCGGTGTGACTTGCAGTGAAGACAAGGGGATTTGATGCGCTTGGTGAAAATACTCATTCTGCCTCACGCTTATCCATGTGCTGCACCATGAAGATATAATCTTGATGGCTGCTCTCATCTTGTTTAAGTTTCTTTGCCTACCCCAAGACCACCTTATGTGTTGCCTTGTAGCTTTCATGACTGTAAGGTTGCTCCACAGACGCACTCTCCCTTACGACTGTTTTGATTTGCTGTCCCGCAAATGTCACATCCGACCAGTAATTATCTCTGATCGACATCATGGCTATGTTGACGATGTGGTGAGTTGTGTTTTCCTTCTCCTCTGCAGTCAGCTCTTCCCTTGTCAGTGGTTGGTCTTCTCCATAGCTTTCAGCAGAAAGACTGACGGATGTTAACGCCCTTGTGCATGGAGCCCAGACTTGCTCAATAGGATTAAGTGCTAAGTACCTCGGGTAGTATGAAGTCACCACCAGGGCATCTAGGTTACTGCCTCTGAACAGATCAGCATAGTACATCTCATTAGCAGTGTAGTTGACGTCAGCTCCTCCGTCAACGAGAGGTACCAGACTTGCCAGCTGATACTTCTTCAGCAAGAACAAGTTCTCCAACAATGTCATTCATGTGAGTGGCCACTGAGCATGAAGAGTGGGGACATCTGAGGACGACAGTTGCACGGTCCTTCTCTGACAGTCAGAAATAAAAAAAAATGAAAACACAAGAATAAATCAATAACCTTGTTGCACAATCATGTTTGCCATAAGAAGTTACCATGTGCACCCGCAGAGTTGAAACAGTACATGCAGTATCCGGTTCATAAGTGTGACGCTACTTCAGTTTAACCCACGCCCACTGCACATGCAGATACACAACCATCACAGGTACGTCAGTCCATGGTAAATTGCCGTTATTTTTTTTTACTTTATGTGTAGAGTTATCCTGAAAGACTTTTCCACAAAAATTTGCAGCCAGAAAAGTCTAAATTTAACATACCTTTATGTATTTTGTGTCTTGACTCATAACTTTCAATCGTCTGATCAAATTAAGAATTGAAGCTGACACATACAGCCTCATTTTCAAACGTGGAAGTGCGTAGACTGACGCTAAAAGTGTCGTATTGGGATCCCTCTATAGGTATCATCGTATTTTTTGCAATTCAGTACTGTAAACTGATTTTGCTACTTTGCGCCAATACGTATCAAAATAACTGGAAGCTTTAGATACTGTTAATCATATTATAAATATACTCACATAAAGTGGTCTCTGCCAATGTCATCTGTCCTTATTTCAGTGGATGGCCACATACACAGATACCCACAATGGCATGATGAGATGACCAGGTGTGGGAAAATCGTGGTCACTATAGTTTGGCACATCTCAAATGGGAAAGAATTTAGAAAGCTTGATCTGTTGGTCAACAGCCAGTGTTTGCTCCCCGACCTTTATCTTGTTCTTGTTGTCTGCTGAGTACATGAGAGCTTGCAACTCAAGAGCGTGGCGCACTCTTGCTGAATAAAGCGGCTGTTCTCAGTGATTCTTCGGTTGGAGTTTTCCTTCGCTGGAACACACGCATTGATTAGACCTTGGTAGTATGAGGCTGCTTTGTTGCCATTGTTAGGGGGTACCATCCAGCGGGCTATTGTCTGTAGACCTAACAGGAAGGAAGAAACGTATGTAGTATTAAGTTCATCATTTGGTTTCATCTTTGGCTTAAAAATTAGCAAATTTTGTCATTTTCAATCCTTTTGGATCTGCAGTCTAGGTGATGCTATTTCTTATTCTGGTAATACTTAGCAACTTTGGGTCGGAGACCTGATTTTGCTGTGGTCACCGGGTTTTGAAGACAATGGCAATTGCAAACATAATTTTATTTTGCAACAACGCAGACCTCGTGGAGTGTGCAGACTTCCAATGAAGTCTTGTTCCCATACCAATACTTGTCCTGTTTAGATTGTCATGTACAGATCACAGGGGATCTGACTACAATGCAACAACGCAGAGGAAGAATGCACAGTGCAGTATTTCACAAGCGCGTCCTTGCAAAGCTTGGTGCAGTACGGTAGCTTGCTTTAGCATTAAATTGCACCCCAGTATCTGTTGAAAAAGGAGGCAGTTTGGCCCTAAAAGTGGTGAGACTGTGTAAACCTTTGCCTAGTTCAATTCCCTGGGTCTTTGGACTTTTGTACGAGAGCAGAGTGGTAAAAAACACAATTAAAAAAATGGTCCTAAGTGCCTGAGAAAGTTAAGAGTTGCCACATGAACAATGGCTGAAAGCCGACTTAAGAAACAGGGTTTGGGCCCCTACATGCAAAACCAAATTGTGAAAGGTCATGACAAGGTCATCAGGTAGTGCAGGATTTTACATATAGAGGTTGGCTAGCTGCCAGGGCTGCTGGCCAACTTCTCGGAGTGTGGGTCAAAAGTATTACTTTCTATCTATTGATGGTGGTAGGAAGCAATGCAATAGCAACAACCACTTTCGGCCAGGTTGTCTCTCGATACAGTCGCGACTGGTTTCAGAGGTGTCGTTGCTACATGCCTACGGCGAAACAGGTTGCTTGAGAAGATCACAACCAGCCTAGCTATAACTGAAGAGAATTACTAGAATTACGGGGAGGTCGAATAGCTGTTTGTGTTCAAGAAAACATCCCAGCCAGAATTTTACATGATATTACTATTCCTGAGTAGCTTGAATGTATATGGCTGCGTGTACACCCTCACCGTCTACCCCGCAGTGCGTTTGGACTGGTGATATCCCCTCTTCATATTCCACCAATGTCACTGGATCAAGCTGGACTGATTGAACATATCATAACTTGTGAAGAGTAAATTTGAAATATCCTGATTCAGGTATAATTGCTTAGGGTGACTTTAATCGGACTG